TGTAGTATAAATCCTGGGTTGTCTTTTTATATTTTACATGTTTTTAAAATTCTTTTCCAGCTGGTTCTGCTGTATACTTTGAAAGACACCTATAATGTGTGTTGTTGTTCCTTTCTGCGTCAGTTCCTCTTCTCTTTAAAAGCACTGTAATAACCATGTAAAAAGTGACAGTGGCTGCAAGTCAGATGTAGGTTTACTTTGTGGAGTATGCTTATGAACCCAGATTGTCTAGATATCTAGAGAAGTAATATGTTGCAAGGAATGAAATAAGAATGGCATACCTAAAATATGCAGACACATTTGTGTTATCCTCGGCAATTTTGAAATGTTGATGAAAAGAGAAAGTATTACCCTTTTTGCCTCAGAAAAATGTCGTAGAATTTTTTGTTTTTCTTTTAACAAGATAATTTATCAAATAAGGCTTAAACTGTTCGTATAACACACCCTTTACTTGCAAGGTATTCAACAGCTTCCTAGAAGTTAAAATAATAAGATATAAGATATACAGCCACAGGAGTGGAGTATCCAGAAAGAGAGTACTTTTGGGATCCATTTGTGAGACAAAACTTGCCTGGATTTGCTACTCTGTAAGTTGTAGTTAATGGCTGAAAGAACTAATTAAGTGTTCTTGAAGGGAATATGTACTGTTTCAGAGGGGTATCTGTGAATACTCTTAATACAGATCTCTTTGTTAGCAGAAAATTATAATACAGGATTTATTCTGATCTCCCCCAAAAATAGTTCTCCTGTTTTGTCCATCTTCAGAAAGGACTCAAAGTTAAATGGAAAATTTCAGAATGGAACCTTAGCCTTTTCTGTGCTCTGCACTGTCTTGTGTGGCAAGGCGAGATATCGTGGTCTCTTTCTTGTAATAACCACCGGGACCATTTTGTGGCTGCTTCAGAAGTATGTGAAGCTGGACCCTTGCCACTGGAGGCGTACTTTTAGTGTGGCCTTCGACACACTTGCCTGGACCTCTGGGTTGCAGCATCTGCACAACCTCCTTTTTAAAAACAGAACATTTATTTTGAAGTAAACTTTCATGTTTCTTCAGTAAATTGGGTTTTTACGCAAGCCTTCACAGTCATATCAACTGTGCTTCTCTTTTGTACACTGAACTTCGTTATGGGTTTTTCCTCTCCCACAAAGAAGATGCTTTTGTGGTTAAAGTACATATCTGGATTTCAGGAAATCAAGAATTCAGTTTCTGGTTAAACCACAAATTTCCTGTATGATTGGTTGCTATCTCTGCCTAGGTTCCCTACCAAATGTAATGTTGATCTTTTATAAATTTTCAGATTAGCAGGACCCATCTTTATGATTTAATCTGATCCTCTGCATAATGGAAATGAAAAAAAAAAGTTAATTACCTGCATAAAATTACAGGGCTTGTTTCTGCTGTAACATTTCGGAAGTTTTAAACAGCCTTAATTTTGGGTTTAGGAACCCTTAATAATGGGTTCAGGAACCCATTTTTCTGTCTTGTAGTGAAACATTCTCACCTTTAAGCAACTTCAGTGGTAATGTGTTGGGGTTTGGTTTTAATTTATTTATTATTTTGAATTTTACCTAAATTTTTGCTCTTTTTCCTGGAAGTAAAGGACTTGGTTAACTAGAATTCTTAGACTAGCCAAGGCATTTCTTAATAGTTTTCCTTGGCTAAATTAAAGAGGTTTTTTAGTCAGTTAATCTGAGTGTTCAACATAGCTCATACTTTGGGTTAAGGAGACACTGGTGTATGCACAGATCATGTACTGTGTATGCAAATTAAGACCATATTGTCAGAATACCTTTATTATAAGGGTTTATTCTTATTTATTTGCAGAGTTAGATGGCCAGGACTAGGTTTCTGCAGTTTAATCCAATGATATTTCCTTTTGTAGCAATAGTTTGGAAAATGCTGCTTTGAACTGGTCTTGAGGCAGCACCTAATGTTTGCTGACTACCTGTGTTTCTTGAGACCAAAATTGCTGATGTGGTACAAAAGTTTGGAAAAGGATTTTCAGGAAAGCTGTCCGGTAGAAGCAAGCTGCTAGCCAAAACCTGAACACCACTTCTGAGATTAGTTCTTTAGGTCTATTATATTCATTCTGGATTTTTGACCTTTTTCACCATTCAGTTTTGTCAGTCTTAGCTATATGCAAATCGGTTTTGTCAATATAAAAGCACGATGCTATTTCCCTGCAGCATATATATCCAAATAGTATAGCTCTATTTCAACAAGAATATCCCACTGAGAGCTTGTGCTCAGCTGAAACTGTCACCTTCTCGTGTCTGCTGATGGGAGGTTGATCTGAGCACTCCTTAGTCCTCTTTAGTCACACCTTAGCTTAAAACACAGCAGAAGCAGCAGGTGCTAATCTTACTGACTTTGCTTTGCAGCTCTGCCAGCGAGAGGAATCATAAGGAGAGTATGTTATGACAAGATAGAATGGCAAGAACTGAGACACTGACTCCAGGTTCTAAGCTCTGCAGCTAGCATAGGGTTGTTGTTTGGTTTGGGGGCTTTTTTGGGTTTGGTGATTTTTGGGGGTTTTTTTGTTTTTTTGTTTTTTTTTTGGAAGCAATTTTTGTGATTCACTTTGACGCAATTAGCAATCTGCAGTTAACTAAAGCTCTATTTTATTATATTAGAAGTTGTTCAACTAAGTATATTTCTAGGTAATTCATACTGGTTTTCCATGATTGACCTCTTATCGTCATCAGCTATTGCTCCACTGTTTTTGTCATTACCAAAGTTGTCTGAACTTACACTTTCTTTCAAACCACATAACTGCTTATAAATCTACAGAACAACAAAAGGTTGCCAACAGAGAAATCCCTTTGATGCTTAGCTACAAATGCCTATTGAATTTAACAATTTCCCATGTGTGGGCTGTTGAGATTTTCCTCATCTCCCCTTTGAAATTGTCATTGATCAGAATTATAATCAAGATGGAGCCAGATGTCTTACAGAAGTCCTCTATATCACCACAATTACTTTGTCAGCCCAAATAATGACCCCATTTAAAGAGGCTGTGGAGGCTGGGAACAGCCTATTTTCTCTAGAAGTGGCTGGAGCACTGCTATTTATATACAGGTCTCTTATTTTCTGATACATTAATGACTGCAGAGACCTCACTGGCCAATAGTTTCTTGGTATTCCTGGACAGCTGGTTATAACTTTCGTGTTCTCACTCGGTTTCATTTTCTAAAATAGCACTTCTTTTCCAACTGTCACATTATTTTTTATTTTTGGAACAGTCAGTACTAGGCTGGTAATGTTCTGATGTCTAGGGATACTTGAAGGCATGTCTGCTTAATACCAATAATTGCTTATTCTGTTAAAAAAACTCTGCATTAGTTCATATTAAATTTACTTCAAAATGCAGCCCCATTTACAGCTTAACTTAGTCTTTAAAATGGGAACAGAAATAGTATGGTATTCTATTTTTTCCATCCCATACTGATTTCTATGTAATTTCTCACAGTATATATGTGGCTTCTAGGCACAAGATACAGGATATATATTTTTTCCTTTGCATTTAGGGACAGATTTACTTATCAGCGCAGGATGTGTGTGGTTGGTAGAGGTGGCAAAATAAAGAAAAGAGCGCCTTGCATCACAACGGAAGATGATAAAGCTTATAATCACACTAAATTTCTCGTAGCCTTAAGAAACAGAAGAGGGAGAGGCTACGGAAGTTGTAACTCTATTGTTCCTTCTTCCTTCTCCTTCCCAACAGATTAACTTGATCTGAGCTTCTCTGGTAGGTGTTGTCATCAGGATTTATTACACAGTGTTTGGACTGACCTGTAAAAGTTTTCTCTTTTGCAAAGATAGAGTTTACATACATGGTAAGAGGGGTTGACCCTTTGAGTTTAGCCATAATTGTGATACTGTTTATCATTTTTCTTCTGCCCCAGACCACAGGAACTTTTAACAAAGGGGTAAAAGTTGAATTTTTGTGTGAGAAGATAGTAAAAAAAATCATATGAACATATGTGGGATGTCTAGGTATCCTTGCTGTTGCAGAGAAGAAATTCCTAACATAGAGTTTTAAGATGAAAAGACTTATGAAATCTTAAAATATTATCTTAAACCAGATGCTCAGGATTCACCTGAGTGTTGTCAGCATGCATGTAAAGTTTTCGGTTGTCTTTAATTTTAAATTCTTTAAATAAATATTTGCCCTTTCACCCTGTTCTTATTTCCCCCTCTCATTCTTTTCCATCTCCTAGTTTTCACCTCTGATAGTTCCACCCTGCAAAATTCCCTCTCTGTGCTTCTTTGTGTTCCCTTTTGCATTAATGCAGACTCTGAAATTCTTTAGAGAGACTGTATTTATTAGGAAAGTTTAATAAAAGGGCATCCCTTTTCAAGTTAGTTTCATGAACTGAACTGCAGAATTAGTGTCTTCATACAACTGAGAAACCTGTAATTTGTGACTCATGCCTGGGAATGTTTTTCGCTACTGTTTTTAGAAAAGGAAAAAAATTATTTTGAATAATTTGTCTCCTCTGTAGGCATATTAGCACTTTAGATATGAATATAAACATGCTAATATAAATAATATAATGTATATACAGAGTACATCTATATGCCTTTACACACACAGAGGTACATACCTGTCATACGTGTATGTGTTTTAAGTACCACTGGATGAAATTCTGCCAGGAAACTTTACACGATTTCTGCCAGGAAACTTTACACAGTTCCTGCACTTCTAAATAAGTCTCAAAATCATGGGTGGCACTGCTTGTGCCTGAATTTAAAGATTATGGGAAATGGCTATAGCAAGCTGCCACATAAATAACTAGTGGAAAGTGAAAGGAGGAAGGTAGCTTGTGAGAAAGCATTAGTTTCCAAAATGCAGCACAGAGAGGTGGAAACAAAGGGAAGACAGAATCTTAGATGTTCACTCTGTACATTAAGTCTAATGGTGCTATCAACAGCTTCATATGACAGGAAATGGTCTGGGCGTTTTGTTCACTTATTCTGGATGCCCTTAGTTTCAGAGAGCAACTGGTAACATGGATTGCACCTCGGAAGGGGACAGCTGAACTCTCCCTCTGGCTTTAGTAAGGAAAGAGCAGCGATGAAATCCGTGGACTGTGTGCACGTCATCCAACAGAAGGATACCGCCTCCTCTCCCTCTGCCCCCCCTGGTGCTGTTTCAGGCGCCACGGGACTTTTTCCTGTCACATTCCTGTGGCTTGCAATGCTCCTGTCCTCTTGTCTTGCAGCAGTGTCTCTTTACCATGTTATCACCCTGAAAACAGAACTAGAAGCTCTGCGCAGCGAGCTGATCTACAGCATCCAGGCAAGGTCTCCGCGAGACCAACCACTCGTGTCCCCCGATGAAAACAAAGCAGGTAGCCCTGTTTCTTCCTTCCTGCGAGTGTCTGCAGCTGGCTCCAGGCAGGTAAGCTGGAGGGATGGGCTTTGACTTGCAGGGCATGGACCAATGTGGGGCTGCTCTCACTGACTGTTGCTTCTCCTTGTTAGGAGAGCAGGCTTGCTGGTACTGGCACAGCTGAGAGCTTCCAAAAGGAAATCTGGAACGGGAGTAGAAACAGGGGCAGGCGGTCTATTGTCAACACAGAAGAAAAAGGTAAATACCAGCTGATGAAGTGGGCTGGGATGCTGCTGTTGGATACAGTCTGGAGAAAAGCAGGAGTGTTTGATTTGCGTTTTTTCTTTCTCCTGTCAGTTGATCCGTGCTCCCAGAGCCCATTCTGGTTTTCAAAATTATTGGTGGATGAATGGTGTTAACCACAAGCATGTTCTCTTAAAGGACAGAATATTAAATTACAGAATGTTTTGGTTTTGAAGGGATCTTTAAAGGCCATGTAGTCCAACCACGCTGCCATGAGTAGGGACATGTTTTTTAAGGTACCAGATATTTATGCTATCTGCAGGTTAAACTTTGAATGTTAGATCCCAAATCTGCATGATTTGTTACAGTTGAAAAAGACAACTTCAAATCATCCAGATTTTTAACTGTTCAATTCCCTCTGATCAAAGCAGGGAGGAAAATCTATTAATAAAAATGCCAATTCACTTTTCTGGGAAACATGCTCACCCAAAAAGAGAGAAGTAATGAGAACTTTAGGGAAATAGGAGCTTTTAAGTAGAAAGGCTGGCTTGTACCTGACAAAAGAGGCAGACTACAAGGAATTCAGAAGTTTAGCATAATTTCTACATTAAAACAACCTATTAATAAATCATAAAATTAATAAAGGAATGCCTATCCAGTAAGATTATTTTGGTCATGGTTCTCCTTTTTAAAATGTTCTGCAAAGAGCACTGAAGACTGTGCTCCATAAAAGACCTCTGATGTGTATTATAAAGTAATGGGATACATTTTTTTCCTTTGGGGATGAAATGCCTATATTTCATTATTTTTTACAAACACAATGAGGTCTTATACCCATAAAAGACCTCTGATATGTATTATAGAGTAATGGGATACATTTTTTTTCCTTTGGGGATGAAACGCCTATATTTCATTATTTTTTACAAACACAATGAGGTCTTATAAGATGAAATGCAGAATTGTATTATACCAGTTTGCACACATACTCTAATTGCACTGAGTAACTAAAATATTCCTGATTTTGCTAAATCAGTTCACTCTTCTTATGTATACTTTTATATTATTTTAACTGATATCTTAAACAATTTAGAGAAGTTTAAATGGAGCAAATTATAGGTAAAGACTAAATTAAGCTTTGCATAAAATGTGTTTCTCAGTGAGCAACTAACATGAAATGTATTTCACTTGAGCTTCAGTAAGCTAAATGAAATTAAAGTTCTAGAGTATAATCACTCCACTTACTTCCAATATCCAAAAAATCCATTAATTTAGGACATCACTTAAAATTCAGAGGTTTATACCAGATTTATTCTATTTCATTAGTGTCTTTGATTCAAGATCTTGGCTAAGAAAGATTTCGTAAACAGGACTGAGGTCATGATTTCTTAAATTCTGTTTCTTGTAGCCTGTTTCCTTCCACAAGAACCACAGAGCTCCCCTTCCCTCCCCACCCTAGGAACTCCCAAATAAAAATAAGTGATCTGAAGTACCAATATCATAAAAAATAAGGAGATGTCTTTTTTTAAATGAACATTAGAGCATCAATACTCTGCAAGTGATCCAGTTTCCATCACAATAGATTTCATCTTCAGTCTTACTGCTATTTGAGGCAAGCAGGATTTGGGGCTCCTCAGCTGTACTTCTGAGTAGACTTTTGATTCTTCTCATCAGGTAGCCACCTCTGATTATATGTGTTTACCTGTAACACATAAAATTTCAATCAAGCTACTTGTTTCTCTAATTTTTTTTTTAAGGTACAGCTGGCTTTTAAGTTGTTTATGATGGATGAAAGAAAACACAGAATATGAACATTCATTTTAAAGAGAAAAACTACATAAGTTGACCTATCACAAAAATGTTTTCTAACATGAACCTCATATTTTTGTATTAAAAAAAGAATAAAGTCAATTGCAAATCTTGCATTTGTATCAAAGGTTATCTGTTAGAATTAGCTTTCTACCTGCTCTAATTTAAAAAAATTTAGCTTTTCAGAGTTCAGCTATATATTATATTCATATTATGTTTTCTCAGATCAGATTTCACTGATGACCATGAACCCACTAGTCAATGTTAAATTTTGTTTTAGCAGAATCAGTTAAATAGAAGAGCATGGTGTTGTTCATGGTGCTGAATCCAGTCTACTGCTTCATAATGTACGCAGAATTACAGACCCTTCATTTTGATCTTTTGACATTTATATCTGGGTTCCAGAATCCCATCAGTCTCGAAATTGTCCTGCAGATGTGTGGCATCATGTTGTTATAATGACAAATAAATCAGGATTTTGAGTGAGGTGCCTGTTCTTGCTCTACTTCTGTTTGCTTCAGCAAGGTCCCAAAGCAGAGTTTGATTTCATAGTTAATTGCTGACCCATCATTTTGCTTTTATATGGATGAATTCCTTAGAAAGTTAATATTTGGAAATGTCACTGGTATCTAATTGTTTCTCTTGTGCTTCAACAGAATGCGGAAGTAAAATATAGACCTAATAGCTTGTTTATTATAAATATTATAAATAAATTGTAAATTATAAAGTTATTGTTCAGTTCTGGGGTTTTTAGACTTTAACCATCAAATTCCAGGAATGGATGTCCCATCGTTCTTTTTTTAGACCCACTACAGCCTTTATTAAGCATACTGAATTTTCATTTTAATGCATACAAGTGGCCAAAAATAAGCATTTTAATTAAAAGGACAATTGAACGGAAGTGGATTTAACACAATGTTGTTTCCTTTTTTATGGCGTATATATTTGTCTGTGCAAATGCATAAAACTATTAGTCATCAGTAGTTAAACACTTCTTGTCTTGCAAAAATTTCCAGCTTGGGTAGGATGAAGAGAAGGGTTTCAAGCATCAATTCCAAATAAAGCAGCACAGTCAGCAGTCAGAACCAGAGTTCTTGATGCAGTGAGTAGGAGGTAATGGGTGATTTTGAAACATATGCTTCTGGCAAATGTCATTTCGGGACATGTTACAACAGATGCACTTTTTCTTTTTGTCTTTCTCTTTACAAATTTCAGCTGTGGAGGAAAATTGGTGCACAACAAAAGACCTCTCCTGAATTTTGTATTCTATTCACAGTTATTGATTGCGTTGCCTGTGTGTTTCTTCCAAAGCTGCATGTGCACTTGAGCCTAGGAACAAGATTTAGGTCCCATTGCCTAAGCCAAAGTATGAACATCAGGTATCATTTCCACACTGTCTCAGTGCCTCATTCTGATCATTATTGTGGGATTCTGATTCCCATGACCTAGGGAGGTTGAAATCAGACCTTCTCTAAACACAAATGCTGGGATCAGACTGGAGCCCCCATGGACTACATTTGTTTCGATGTATGCATGTATGAAGGAGCTGAGGAGCTAGTCTATGTAATTCCACAAATCAATGAGGCAGGGTAACCTGGCATGTGATTTGGCAATTCGGTTTTTTACTAATAATTTTCAGGTTCTACTCCAATAGCAGTCGTGTCCATGAGAAGTAACTATTACCTTCCAAGCATGGTGTCAGAATTTTGCCGTTGCTCTCGATAAAATTGCTGCACTGGAAAATTGGTACATTTCATTTGTTGGTTGGAAGTGTTTTGACTGTGTATGTTGATACTTTAGATATCCATGACAGAGGGATAGCAAGAGGTTTTACAAGTGGTACTTGACTTCAGTGATCTTTGAATTGAGATATAAGCTTTTTTTACTAGCTTAAACAAATGCCACATATAAAATTCTCTTACCAAATATTCACAATACTTCATATTTTATCGTTTGAAGAGGTCAAATATGAAATAAAAATTCAAATCAAATTAAAAAGGAAAAAGAAAAGCATACTTCTTGAAAATATATGTTATCCTTATTTTTTCTGCTGACAACAGTCTAACTCAAAAGGAAATAGACCCTTCTATGCAAAAGGATAGAAAATTACTTGATGCAATTCCTGCAACTTTACATGAAGAATTTCACTGAATGAATGAGTGAATAAATCAGTGCTGTGTATTACGCAGAACACTGTACAGTCAAAAAGACACCAAATAGGCTCTAAGTTTTAAACCCAGCATTCTGCTATGTACTGTATAATAGAAGTCTTAATTCCTAGTAAACAACTCCCTTGTTTTTCTAAATGTACCATGTTATTGGCAATTCTGTGAAGGTTGAAATAATGCTACTAATTCTTTGAAGATATTTGTTAGATCTTAGTCATACAAGCAACTATGATCAAGGCATTTTAGTGCAGGGACAGACTGAATCCATAATTAATGCCATATAAAGACATCTCTATTAAAAAACACCACATTAACCAGTTGTCCTGATTTCTGCTGTGATAGAGTTCATGAAAACCAGTTTATAAAAATGCACAAGCAAAAACTAGAAGAAGATCTGTTGGGATAGAAACCAAGAAGTAGAGGGAAGAAAAACTGCAAATGCTTCAAGAAAATGTTTGCCATTTATAAATTAAATTGTCTGGTGTTTAAATGTGCTTTGGGAAACCTACAGAGAACAGATCTAGACAAAAAAGGAACCTATATAAGGAGGTCTGGGTTTGGTTTTGTTTTTTTTTCAAGGTTAGGGTTTTTCCTAGGTTTTATTTCAGCAAAAATGAGGACAGATGTCTCAGACCTCAGATATCAAAAATTTAAATTTTAGACATGAGCTCACAAATATTAAACTTGAAATTTTATTTGGATGGATCACTAAGTGAGATTGCAAAATACTAAAATTATTATGCAATTTAAAAAATAACAAATTTTGTATGGGAGGGAAAATTTTATTTTACCAATATAAGTTCTTAAATCATGGAGATATGCAGAAATCTAGATTGCTGTCCTTCAGCAAAAGATAATAGGGGTTTTTTTTAATTGTGACTACATTGCTCAACCAGTAGAGAACACATCATTGCATGTGCTGGCTGTGGTTTATAAAAGCATCTGGACTGACTAACAACTTCAGAATTGGGTCTTCTGTCCATGGAATAAGACAAACTCCAAAATGAACTTCTGCCAACACACAACCTGCAGAGCAATTAAAATCAGCTGAGAAAAAGAAAGTTTATCAAAGCAAAGCTATTATATAAAGTCACAAGAGGATGGGGCATGCTTTGTCATTCTGGATACACTTTTATACAGATAGATCTCATGGTGACAGTCTAGACATTTTTACACATTTTCAATATGTATTGTATTAATCCTGTATTTTGCTTTCATTATTAATCAAAAATCGTTTAGACTACAAAGATGTTGCACAGGTTTGACTTACACTGGGCTAAAAGACATTAAATAGCAACTATTCAATGTGTATTTTGTAAGACATGTATTCTTCACATTGTACTTAAGATTTGGGTACCTCTTAGAATAGAATTGCTGGTGGTTTTTAACCACATTTACTTTTTACTAAAAATTCCTGTTGATTTACCCAGAAAATGTACTTTGTATATCCATATCTTCTCCTTCTTAGTAGTAGTGTTTACTTGAATTTTTTTTCAATGAATTACTTAATTTTAAGCATGTAAATAGTTCCACTGAAGTCAAAGTACTTGTATATACTGGAAATAGTTATGTGTCAACTTCGGCTTCTGAACATATTTTTGAAGCACGTTGTTGTTCAATCCTTCAAGCACATTTTTCGATATTGTCTTTTGTATATTTAGGTAAAATGGCCACTGTGCTGGCTTCTATTGTCCTATGAAGGACACTATTTTATGCATTTTCTCCAAAAACGAGCTTACTATATTCTGTGGAGGCTTGTTCCTATCTGCATATATTAAAAGAAAAGAGACAGACTTTTTTTTAGAGATTAAGTGCAGATCTGATGTCTGTAGAATGAAGTAGAGTTGGTATGTTTTGTTGAAAAGATGAAGATGATCTCAAACTGTACTGATCTTTCAGATTTTAATTACTGTGAGCAGTTCTCAGCAATGCTGACTAGAATTTCAGTACTGCAACCAGCTGAAACAGAAATCTACACTTGCAAACTGAGAATTAAGACAGTTTGAAGAATGGCCACCAAGTTTGCAGAGCGACTTTAACAAGAGTTGCTAAAGTAGGCATAGCTTTCACTGCTTGTAGACACTGCTCAGTGGCAGGCAGCTGGATAACAGCTGGTTAGTGGGAGTCATCACAAATCTTCTCGTTTGGTTAGTGAAAAATCTGGTGCCCACGTTAGTGAGCTCTTTTAAAAGCAAGAATTAAAATTTTGGTTTAGCTTACTGAAGTACTAGGTGACCACCAAATTTCATTCACTAGGAAGGCATTTTGTTCCAAAATGAATTAATAACTTGTGAAATTATTTGCCTGATGTGCTGTGTTGTTTGTCTCCATAAAGTCACATTTTAGTTCTATTTAGAAGTTTATTTTCCAGAAAATCATTTTGCTCCCAAGTGTGATAGAAAATTGAATGAAGTATAATACCTTTATTAATTTTGTGTTGGCTTGAGGTTTTTTATTTCTTGCCAGAAGGTAGATAATTCAGATGCCTTTAAATTCGTGGTTTGAAAAATCTATAAATTGTAGCACATTATTGATGTGTGATGTGATAAGACTCAAGGACACATTTCAGTGTAGGAGACAGGAGTTTGCATGATAGAATTCCTATTACCATGAGGGCTTGCAGGTTGTGTGATCATTCTGTAATTGGTGCATTCCCAGATGTGCACTTGAATCCTTGAGTGCTGCCAGTTGGCACTGCTGAGTGCTGGTGAGCATCCAGCCCTCTTCTGCTGTTTTCAAGAAAGACCCCTTAAAAAGGAGACTTAGAAACATAAAAATACTTCTTTCCACCCAAATCCTCTGGCTACCTGCTGTGCAGAAAGAGGTTTGTGCCACTGGACCCTTTGTCGCACTTGGGTACCACTGACAGATGCAGAAACAGGATCCCACATATCCATGGCATTCCCCATTATAGCCAAATCTGTGTAACCAAATCTGATCCACAGCCTTCTTGTCTGAAAAGTGGTAAACAAAATGGAGCAATCCATGGCAGAATTTTCTTCTCTTGACTCTTAATAAATTAATTTGGTCTCTGTCATGTGCAGTAAGTATTACTACTCGGTTTTCCATCCTTCAAAGTGGCATGAGAACCAAATGTTTTGATTAAAATCTGCTCCAAGCAAATGCAGCTATTTTTTCCCTTTTTTCCTGTTGCCTGACACATGCTTAGCAGGTTTTTTTTACAAGATCTTTGTTTCACTTGCAAATCTATATTTTAACATTCTGCAGTATTTTTTTCTGAACAAATACCTAATTTCTCATTAGTGTCACCAATCTCTACAATTTTGAGCAACACATTTTGACAGATACCAAGCTATTTGTTATGTGTGCATTAATTTGCTAAGGGTGCATTAATTTGCTAACTCTCTCTATTTTCCCTCTTAGTATAGGTTGATCTAGAGTAGGTATCTGAAAAATATTGAAAGTACATGTATATGGACTTTGAGAATTTATTTGGAAAGTATGTATGACTAATATTTTACAGCAGCTATAAATGGGAAGTAATTTCTCTAAACAATATGTCAAACATAGTTAGAAAATTTGCTGTCTATCATAGTTGGTGGGGTTGGGGCTTTTTTCAAGCTTTTGTTTAGAAAATTAAAAAGCTTAATTGACCTAATGATTTCTAGCTCATTTGACTTACTGCTACATAGTTATATAAGGGCTAGATATGAAACCAAGCAAGTGTTTCTTGTGCTGCTACCTGAGGCCTCCCACTTAGCTCCACGATCTCTGAAAGTCATCTAGTGTGTGTTGTGACAGGAATTTTCATTTTGTACATTTGAGTAAAACCTGCGTTAAAACTAATATGTTCTGGTTTAAAATGAGTGGTGAGACTGAGAATTTCTGTCCTTTTTTTTTTTTCTTAAAGTAGTTTCATAAATTTATTCTATTACTGATTTATGTTTCTTTAATTTCAAAATACTTTCACTTTGCAGTGCTGCAGGCCTGCTTGCAACTGATTGCTGACAGCAAAAGCGATATCCAACAGAAAGGTAAGAATATGTGCCATGATTTATAGTTAACTGTTCCATGGGATAACTGTTTCAACAAATTTTACCTAACTTCAAAGCAGTAACTGAGTTTTAACAGCAAATTTAAAAACAAAATAAATACATAATTTTTTTTAAAACCCAACAACTACAAACAAAAACATCAAAAAACAACAAGGAGATCCCTGCATCTGGAAGGTCCCTGTATCTGGATGGCTCTTGCAAATATCATCTTTCCAGTGGGGAAATCCACCTAGGGAGACTGGAAGTTCTATCTAGAAGTCAGCATTTGTTATTTTTCAGCAGGTGAAAATGAAGAGCATAACCTTTCTGATCACCCAAAATTATTTTGTCTTTTAGATGATTCAAGCATTGTCCCTTGGCTCCTGAGCTTTAAACGTGGAACAGCTCTGGAAGAACAAGGAAATAAAATAGTGATCAAAGAAACAGGTTATTTTTTCATATATGGCCAGGTGAGAAAGCTCAATTCACTTCAGCATCTGACATTTGTAAGGATTTTTAATACCTCCATACAATAAGTTTATAGTTTTCACCTCTTCTTTCTGTAGGTTTTATATACAGATACAACATTTGCTATGGGACACCTAATACAGAGGAAGAAGGCTCATGTGTTTGGTGATGATCTCAGCTTGGTGACATTGTTTCGCTGCATCCAAAATATGCCACAGTCATATCCAAATAATTCTTGCTATACTGCTGGTAAATATCTGCATTTTCCTTTTATTTGTTTGCCAACAAGCTGTATCAAATAGAATCTGTTGTGCTGGGCAATTGTATTGTAGCAGTCATAAAGAACAGGGTGTACATTCATGGATCTGGCTAACTGAAAAATTACAGAATGCTTTCAGAAAATACAGTTTTATATGAAGTATCAGCAGTTGGAGATTATGCATCTAGCTTGGTGATCCAAACAATTTTGCTCTCTCCATTGACTTTATAATGTGGTTAGACATTTTGGTGCTTTCAGTTAGATGTCTGAGGCAGGCAAGAGGAATCCCTACTGTCCTCATTGAAGAACTCAGTTTAACTTAGGAGTTGAATTCCCCATTTAGTCATCCCAAGAAAATATTAAAGTGCTATATTCTCCTTTGAAATGTCATGTATGGATTTTAGGCATTTTAGCAAGTATTGACTTGCATACCTTACTGTGATATTTCTGCTCCTTATAAAGGCTACTGGATTTTTAGTCTTTGGTTTGATGAAAAACAGTTAATTCCTATAAGGTGGTCTTTATGACTGCACAAATTAGAAACACCACAAGAAAGATCAATTAAAATACTTAATGCAAGTCCAGAAAGCTCAATGATGAGTATATGTGTATATTCCTATATAACAGTATATGTGTATATTCCTAGTAACATTTAAGGAATTATTGTCAAGGCCTATAAAACCCCATATATCATCTCTTAACTGTCTGTCTTTCCACCTTAATGGTGGATTTGAGGGTTTTCTCTTTAGTTATTTTCCAGCAAGATTTTTTTTTTTCAGTGCCTTATGAAAAAGTGGGTGACACTTAGGGATAGAGTTGACTGTCAGCAAGTAATTACATTAAACAAATGGGATGTGGCAGGCATCTGGTTTTTTCCCCAATAAAAAAAAAATCCAACCAACTAACTAACCAACTAACTAACTAGATATTTTGACCTGGCAATTGAGGCTGTCCAAACATTTCCTTTGAATTTTTGCCCCTTCTTCTTTGAATTTTTGCCAATCTCACATTCTGGCAACATAACCACCTTCAATATCATCTATATTCTGATTTTACCTTTGTATTACTGCTCCCCTTTCCTAACTAGGATCTCTATCTTGCCACTTCACGATTCCTGCTTCCCAAATTCCCACTGTTCTGTTTTCACCTGGACAAAAGAGTTCTGACTGCTCTCTCTCATGCTGTTGGGCTGTGTCACAGCAGATATTAAATGTGTTCTCAGCTCAGCAGCTGCAGCTTGAAGGCGACATGCTCTTGGTTCTCATATCAGCTGATGTGTGTCTGGCAGGAGGCAAACTTTTGTGCTCTGCAATTGCAGTGGATCAGCTGATGTGTGGTAACTTCATTCGGTTGGTAAAGCTCATGAGACCTTCTCCAGAAGTGTGGGAACAGAGTAGTCTGGGGCCAGTAATACCAAATGCTGATTTTGACCGTCTCATCACCGTAACATGAGGAACCTGGGTACACCGCTGTTAGAAACTTTCGCTGTGTTTGCTGAAGTGAACTGTGCTACGCCGAGTGCAGTGTGGAAATTAAGTCCATCTTCACAGAGGATGTTAAGTGTCAGCTTTGGATAGGCTGTAAACTCTAAGATGATACCTAAAGATAAAAACATTTATCACAAGTAAGAGACCATGCTTACATTTGAAAGATGACACATAATGACTTTTGAGTACCATTTATAAAGTACTTCACTGGAGATATTAACTTAAAAATATTCCAAATCTTTTGCCAGGCATTGCAAAATTAGAAGAAGGAGATGAACTTCAACTTACAATACCACGGAGAAGGGCTAAAATATCCTTGGATGGAGATGGTACTTTTTTTGGTGCAGTAAGACTCCTCTGAAGCCCTTCATTTCTGGTTTTTATGCTTAATGCCATTTTCTTCTCTACCTATGCCTTTGTCAGAAAAAATATTAAATTGTGATAAAGCTGCCAATTCAGCCTCTCCCAATTCACCACAGGCTTCTAAGAATTTTCTTCACTTTAATATGCAAACCCAAAACAGGAAACATACCAGACATACTTGTGATATAACCACCATGTGATTGCCAGAAAGCCAATTTATTTTAGACAATGGGACACTCTAGATAGCAACTATAAAGCAATGAGGTTTTGGCTTTGAAACAATTTGTTATCCATATGGTAAACCAAAGGAGGAGTTGACCAAAAATAACAGCATGACGAGGACCACAGACTCATCATTTGGACACAGATAACCAAATTGTTATCCATTGAAAAGGAAATTTAAAATAAAAGTGTATCCTAGATTTGCATTATTTCACCAGTAAAGTATTTAATATACAAAGTGTGGAGAAAAAAACATCAAACAGTAGATTCCTCACCACAAAATGAAATTGTTAGTTATTGTGTTCTGAGTTTTGGTTTTGTTTTTTTTCTTTCCCCAGAGATACTGGGGAAGGAAAAATTCTAAATGTCTGGGATAATGAAAACAAATATACAGAATTGTAGCCACTGCCTTGCTTCTTCCCTGTGAACGAAAAAGTGAATAAATTACTACAATCTCTTAGCATTTACTAATTAGAATTAATTTTACTGGAAAAAGGACATGTAAAACACTTCAACAGCTCAATCTTCAAAGCATTGCTACTTGTCAAGGAATATGTGTGCACTTCTATGTAAACAAGGCTGGCACAGGAAGAAACATGCTGAGATTAGACACAATACTATGGTTGGAATTGGATTTCTGTCTCCATTATTTCTGCAGTCACATATAGATGTGTGTATATATATACAGTATCTAGACATCTCTGTATAAACTTGAATGTATGTATACACACATAGGTCTTGGGCATTTAGGAATAGAATTTTATCTTCTTTTGAGCAGTTCATCCAATGGAAATACTACTTCACACTTTTTTTTTTTTAATATTTCCCTTTCTTCTTGCCATGATCCATTCTATGGATTACAGTAAAAAGAAAAATCCAATAGACCTGGAACCAGCCATTCAACTAAGAAAATACACTTGTATCTCAGAGGCTTTTTCTGTGGTTTTGAATATAACACTTAACCCTGTTTTACAAAAATATTCAGATCTGTAGAAAAAATAAACAGACGTCCTTTTTCCTTTTCTTTTGTCTGGCTGCTTTGTTCAGTAGGTAGTATTTATGCCTTTTTTATCCCAAATATTTTATGGTCAAATGAGCTATTCTACTTTTTCCCCTGCTCTTAAAGAAGCATTGAAGTCCTATAGGAATAGATAAAAAGTAAAACCCCAAGTAATTAATTGTACTTTATTTGAAAAACATTTTTAGGACCTGAGAATTGTGTTATATAAACTTACTTAGTAAAGAAAAGATGCTCTGCATATTGCAGTTTCCTTGTCTGTTGTTATGAATTGTGATCTGATTGATTTCTCATGGTGACAGATAATAAATAAAAGAGATTTGGAGCTCAGAATTATAAAGCATGGTAAACTAATGAAACAATTATTTTTTCTTCTCTGGGCTTCAGGAAGACATTTCAGCAATAAGCATATGTGTATTGGATTTTTACACTGGGATTTTTATGAGGCTTAACTAGAGTTGCAAAATATCTGCAAGTCATCCTTTTTAAAAAATTTACTTATTTATTTATGTGTCGTGGAGCTGAAGCTACAACTGTTTTTTTTTTTTTTTGTCTATATTTTTATTTTTT